AAAAACCCTTCACTTTTTCTTATTTCTCTGCTGTAGTTTACTCCTTTTTATGTCATCAAAAGATTACTACTTGATACTAAAAAAAATAGTAGAGTATTTCTAATGTTATATTCATGACTTGACCTTATCCTTTTAAAATATCTTAAGTATAACCAAATTTCCTTAAAAATCACCTCTTTTCTTGTCTTTTGTGCTATGTAAGTTAACTTTCAATATTAAATTTAATTCTTCCACATCTTTTTATTTATTTTTTTTTTTTTTGAGATAGTCTCATTCTGTTGCCCAGGCCAGAGTGGGGTAGTGTTAGCCTTAGTTCATGGCAACCTCCTGCCTCAGCCTCTGAAGTAGCTGGGACTACAGGCACCCATCACAATGACCAGCTAACTTTTCTACTTTTAGGGTGTGTGTGTGGGGGTTGTCTCAATCAGGCTAGTCTCAAACTTCTGCGCTCAAGCAATCCTCCCATCTTAGCCTCCCAAAGAGCTAGGATTATAAGTGTGAAACACCATCTTTAATGTGACAAAGTAAGAGAGTAGGAGCAAAGGCAGGCTGGGTATAAATCCGCATCCTGGTTTGGCGCCCATAGCTCAGTAGTTATGGTGCCAGCCACATACAGTGGGGCTGGCAGGTTTGAATCCAGCCAGGGCCTGGTAAACAACAATGACGACAACAACAACAACAACAACAAAAATAGCTGGGTGCTGTCGTGGGTGCCTGTAATCCCAGCTACTTGGGAGGCTGAGGCAAGAGAATCGCTAAGCCCAAGAGTTGGAGGTTGCTGTGAGCTGTGATGCCACTGCATTCTACCAAGGGTGACGAAGACTTTGTCTCAAAAAAAAAAAAAATTTGCATTCCACTGAAATGGTTCTATGATCACGGAGGAGTAAGAAAGGGTAAAGGGGGGGGGGGGGCACCAGAGGCCTCACCAGAGTGGAAAGAAAGGAGGAAGAGGAGGGCTCAGGGATGAGAGAACTCTAATAAGATTGTCATCATAAGAGAATATTAAGGAGCAAACAGTCTCCTAATAACTAATTTGTCTTTATTTTTTCTTTTAGAATTTTCTGCTACAATTTTTACAAGTGTTTAATTTAAACAATTAAAATTTTAATTGCTCTAAAGTATTTTAATGGCAAACATGAAAGACATTTTTAAAATTTCAGAGTCTGATCTTAGTAATTTCCAATTAAGTGTATAAACTAAGTATCCAATGTACTCAACCCTATTATGAAACTAATTGTTGGCTCGGTGCCTGTGGCTCAAG